TCACGGTGACTCAATGGGTTAGACAGGGCCAAATGCCGGTGCGCACAAGGAATCTACCCACTTTGGACATAAACTCATATCTATCTTATATATACAATTTGATCCAGGGACGGAGCCAAAGGGGGAGGCAAGGGGGGCAGCTGCCCCCCCTCACCCCACCCTATATATAGTCTTTGTATGTAAATATGTATATATAATACACGTTTTAGTATTAGTATAAAAAAACCAGGGTTGTAAAAATCAGTCTAGGCGCCTCTAGACCGTGGCGCTTTCCCCCTAAGCGCCCGCCTAGGCGTCTGCCTAGCGCCTAACTCGGCCGATTTGGCCGCCTAGCGTCTAAGTTAGTCGAGTTAACTCGTCCATTTCGGTCGAGTTAACCCGATCGGCTCGGCCTATTTTTTTATTATATATGTGTGTGTGCGCGCGCGCGCATACATATATATAATATGACATATATACACTTGTAGACTAGTTTGATATTTTGAATCTTTGGATGATTGAAGTATTTTACTATTTTAAATTTTTAATATTGTTTTAATGTTTTTTTTTTTGAAAACCATTGTTTTGATGTTATGACTTATGAACTATCATTAATTCATTTATTTGGATGTGTTATTTGATTAAATGTTGAAAACAACCTCATTAAAACTGTCAAACAGCAAGTCTACCACTGTTTTTTTGGCGCCTGCCTAGATTCCGCATAGGCGCCGTCTAGACCGCCTAGGCGCTAGGCGCTGTCCGGGCGCCCGACTAGCGCCTAGCGCCTACTGCAACGATGAAAAAAACTACTAAATGTTAACAAGAAGTGAGTTAGAGTAGTTAGTAAAGCATATGTTTAGTAATGCTAAAAGTTAAGGGTTCAAATCTTAGCATCAACATATTTTTTTTAATACTTTTTTAATATTTAATACACACACACACACACACACACACACACACACACACACACACACACATATATATATATATATATATATATATATATATATATATATATATATATATATATATATATATATAACATTCTTTTATATTAATAATGAGATGTGTAATTTATAATGTGTTTTCTATTCAAATTATTTTATCAAATTAATTATGTTTCACATTTTGTTATGAATATTTTTATAAAGTTTCGATATGTTTTATTTTATGTCCATATCCAAAAATATTTACAACTATATTTCTTAGGTAATTTATTTATTTAATTTTAAACTATCTCTTTTGTTTCAATGTTTCGCCTTTGAAATATTTGTATGAATCTGTCTGCACTTTTTCGCCCCCCCCCCCCCCTCCCCCCTCAACCGAATTTCTGGCTCCATCCCTGATTCGATCTATATCTTATTTAAAGGGATTTGACAGCAAAGATGATCAAGGTTGAGTATATGCGGCAGGTAATGGTGTCTGTATGGCAGCCTGTGATGGGGATGCGGGTAACGGAGATGCACTCTAATCTGTTTCTCTTCGCGTTTTACCATGAGACTGATACGCGTATTGGAGGATGGACCGTGGTCGTTTGACAATCATACACTGGTATGCCGGCAAGTTTGTGATGGTTACCTCCCAGGGGAAATCAAGTTAGATACACTTGATATGTGGATTCAGATATATGATTTGCCTATGGGATATACTTCTAACCTAATTCTGGAGTAGGTTGGAAATTTTGTTGGAACATTTATCAGGTGTGATGATCGCAAAGTGGGGGGACCATGGAAGAAATTTTATCATGTGCGTGTGGCGGTCCCGGTAGACAAGCCACTCAAATGGCGGATGAAATTGGTACGTAGGGATAAGTCATGGGGTTGGGTTAACCCAAAGTATGAATGGCTCCATAATTTTTGTTATTGTTGTGGTATGCTGGGTCACCTGGAAAAGTTCTGTAGAACGGCTCGTTTATCAGGGATTAAGCCTGAGTTTTACCCGTATGGCACATGGATGAGAGCAGGGCAGACCAAGGGCCCGAGGCCGGTTGGGGCGTCATGGTTATTACCGCCTGAGGGGAGGCCAGTAACGCCGAGTGTGGGACAGTCCGGTGGAGGGGATACGGCGGTGCTGGTAAGCCGTAGGGTGGTGGGAGCGACCGATGATGTTGTTATGGCTCAAACGCTAGGTGAATCGGGGGAGGGTGTACTAGCTTCTTCCAAACGTCGCCGTGCGGCCAAGGAGGGGACTAGTAATGGGGTGGTACCGGGTAATGGTGAGACAGCGGTCAATGATGTGTCAAAAAACTTGTTTGTGGTGGGTCTTGGTTCCCAGACCCGCCAGATCCAATGAGTACCCTAAGTTGGAACTGTCATAGCATAGGCGACCCACGTACAGTTCGTGAAATAGTGGACACGGCGTCCTACAACAGGCCTGATTTTATTTACCTCATGGAAACAAAGGTGGACCAAAGTCATGCAGAGCGTATTCGTGTTACACTAGGGTTTGATGGTTTGTTCTATGTTGATCCGGTTGGTCTGAGTGGTGGTTTAACTTTATTATGGAGGAAGAATAACACGGCAAGACTTATCAAATATTCAAAGAATCATATTGATGTGGAAGTTAGTACGATGGGCTTCCCTAAGTGGAGGATGACATGTTATTATGGGTATCCACAACGGCATAGGCGCACTGAAGCGTGGGATTTCATTAAATCACTAGCACCCCAGTCTGATCTGCCATGGATCATGATTGGGGATTTTAATGATCTTTTGTTCCACTATGAGAAGAGAGGCGGAAATCCACACCCGGATAGACTGATGCGGGGTTTTGCGGAGGCTATTGAGTACTGCGGCTTATCTCAGTTACCGATGAATGGGTATCAGTTTACCTGGGAAAAGGGCAAGGGCACATCTCGGTGGATTGAGGAAAAGTTGGATAAGGTGTTAGCTACCGATGCGTGGCGTGATATTGTCACTAGAGCTAGGGTGACTAATATCCTAATGAGAAGATTTGATCATTCTGCCCTCTTTATGGGAATACACGATCCTATGGGGAGGGGGAGACCACAGAGAAAGTTCCGTTTTGAAATGGCCTGGCTGCACGATGAGGGGTGCAGGACTGTGGTGAAGGAGTCTTGGGGAGAAGGGAGGAATGGTGGTTTGCAGGAGTGTATTGTGCATTGTGGTAACCGGTTAGCTCGCTGGGGGAGCGACTGGTATCATAAGTTTGGTGAGCAAATTGAGCAGCTTCGCAAGGAACAGTTATATCTGAAGGGGCGCACGGACCCAGTATCATTAGCTGAGTTCCACCGCCCGGAGGAGGCTCTGTGCCGAGTAGAGGCCCAAGAAGATGCATACTGGAAACAGAGAGCCAAACAGCACTGGTTAAAGGGTGCCGATGCCAATACGAAATTCTATCACAGGTACGCCTCTAATCGCAAAAGGAAAAATAATTTATCTAAAATTATGAATGATGATGGGGACTGGGTGGAAGGTGATGGTATGAGGAAGGTTGTCCAGGATTATTTTGCCAATATCTTTTGTACTAGTAATCCTACTAGTGGTGCTGAGTTATTTGAAAAAGTTATGCCCAAAGTTACACCTCTACAAAATGAATTACTTCTACAACCCTTTAGAGTGGATGAGGTTAGGGAAGCTCTGTTTGAAATGTTTCCAGATAAAGCACCGGGGCCGGATGGAATGAATTCAGGCTTTTACCAGCATTTTCGGGATGTGGTAGGTGAGGATCTCTCGGAGTTTATTGTTGATTATCTGAATGCCCGAAACTTCCCTGCTACATTGAATGAAACGAATGTTGTATTGATCCCAAAGAAATGTATGCCTGAGCGGGTAACGGATTTGAGACCAATAACCCTGAGTAATGTGGTTTATAGGATAATGGCTAAAATGATTACACAAAGGATGAAGCCCATGATGGAAAGTGTTATATCTGATTCACAGAGCGCATTTATACCAAATAGGCTCATCACTGATAATATCTTGATAGCAGCAGAAGTTAGTCATTATCTGAGTAGAAAGCAGTGTGGGGTGGTAGGTTGGGGGGCTCTCAAGTTAGACATGGTAAAGGCCTATGACCGTATGGAGTGGCTATTTTTACGAGGAATGTTAAAGGCCTTGGGTTCTGATGAGAGGTGGATAGAGCTTATAATGTTATGTGTGACTACTGTGTCATACAGGTTCTTGGTAAATGGATCCCCCAGTGAACCGATCATGCCTACCCGGGGACTCAGGCAGGGTGATCCATTGTCTCCATATCTGTTTATTATATGTGCGGATGGGCTATCTGTTTTGTTACAACAGGCACAGAATGATGGTTTGATACATGGCTGTAGAGTAGCGCGTGGCGCTCCCCCAATATCTCATTTATTGTTTGCTGATGATAGCCTGTTGTTTTTCAAGGCAAACCCATATGAGGCTACTCAGGTGAAGAATTGTTTGGCAGTTTATGAGAATTTGTCTGGACAAATGGTGAATTACCACAAGTCTAGTATATGTTATAGTAAGAATACAAGTCAGGAATGTAGGGATGTAGTGGCACATATTTTAGGGGTAGACCATGCCCCTAATTTTGGCAAATATCTGGGATTGCCACCGTTTGTAGGGAGAAATAAGAAGACGGCCTTTGCATATATTGAAGACAAAATCCGATAGAGGATTGGATCGTGGAGTAAGAAATTTCTCTCACAGGCGGGAAAGGAAGTCTTATTGAAAAGTGTGGCTCAAGTTATGCCTACCTTTTCAATGAGTGTCTTTTTGTTGCCTATATCTGTGTGTACAGTTATTGAACGGACAATGAATCGCTACTGGTGGGGCTCAGGGGCTGACCGTGGTATTCACTGGAAGGCATGGGATAAGTTGTGTATCCCTAAGCATTATGGAGGCCTGGGTTTCAAGGATCTGAAAGCATTTAATTTGACAATGCTGGGTAAACAGGCATGGAGGTTGTTGACCAAAACTGACTCACTTGTCTCTCGAGTATACAAAGCCAAATACTATCCTAAAAGTTCATTTTATGAAGCAGATATTTGAAATAATCCTGGTTATTGCTGGCGAAGTATTATGGCTGCCAAAGCATTAATAACAAGCGGAGTAAGACGTCGTATTGGGGATGGAAAGTCTACCTTAATATGGGAACATCCCTGGCTTCAGGATGAGCTGGAACTAATGGTCCAAACAGAGATGCCACCTCAGCTAACTGGTGCAAAAGTTGTGGGATTAATTGATCAAAATACTGGTACATGGGATCCCCACATTTTAGACATTTTCCACCGAAATGATATACCAAGAATTTTAAAGATTCCGGTCTCACCAGGATATGAGGATATATGGTATTGGTATGAGGACCCAAATGGATGCTATTCAGTAAAGAATGGATACAGGCTAATGGTGGGAACTTATGAGAATAATACTGGTTTTGATAAGTGGTGAACCCTATGGAATTTAAAAATCCCCCTAAATGGAAGACCTTTCTATGGAGAGCTATATGTGATATTCTCCCTACTACCACCAATTTGCTTATAAAGAGGGTGGATATTAGCCCAATTTGTGCCATGTGTGGAGTTATGGATGAGAACACAATGCATGCCTTAGTGTTGTGTGACTATACTAGGTCCATTTAGGATCAATCTAACCTTCCACTCCCCCATTTTGTAACGAATATTTTCCAAGAATGGTTTAGATAATCCTAAATGTTCTAGATGCTAATGGGATATTGTTTGCAGCTAGAATATTATACAATATTTGGAGAGCCCGGAACGATGCCGTTTGGAATGCATGTCTGCCAAGACCGGAGAAGATTATCGCGACTGCCGTGGCGTCCGTGCATGCGTGGCAGCAGGTGCACTCGGCTGCCCCCTCACAGTCGGTCGGTCTCGCCTCTGCCGACCTGCTGCCACTGCCGACAGAACAGCAGGCTGCCCCTACTGCCGAGACACAACCAGCACTACCAACGTCTCCCGTTGTCGCGGCTGGAATGGAAGCAGTGCCACGGATGTGGTGTTTCGTCGATGCCGAGTTTCGGCCTCTCTTGAAGACCGCCACAGTTGGAGCGGTGTTGTTCGATGCGTATGGCGGATACGTCTCAGCTTATGCCGCACCCTTACAAAACTGTCTCTCACCGCTTATGGCCGAGACGCAAAGTTTTGTCATGGCTCAGGGCACGTGGCGAACTGTCAGTTGAGTTATTCACAGATTGCCAAACACTTCAACTCAATTTTGAGTTACTTATAAATATAACCACATTTTTTTTTTTCATATACTTTCTCAACCTACTGAAACACAAAGAGCCAATAACGCCTCCACTGAGGCTTGAACTCATAACCTTTCAAATGGAAGTCCAACCCAAGTACCATTAGACCACATAGTCCTGGTAAATATAACCACATTAGTTTTTCAAAAAAAAAAAAAAACGAATTTGTCCCATTTCACTCCGTCTAGGTAACTTGGTATGTTTATAATGTATGCATAACATACATGCTTATAATATTCTTTAATTTTGTCATTAGCAAACATACAATATGTTTAATTATTATATTTTGGTACATAGAATGTGTTCATTATATGCCTCCGTATCTGTGTATGTATTCTTCCAAATGTTTTTGTTTGTTTGTTTTTGTTTTTTTTTGTTTTAATAAGAAAGTTTATTTTACTTTTAGTCTATCAACTATATTGTCATTTCTATCCTTTCAAAGAAAAATATATTGTCATTTCTATTTTTGATCATTAATTTTGAATTGTTCTTCTTCTCCCAAAAGGTTGAATCTCCAACCCCAAGGGTCCCTCACACCCCAACTCGACAGAGCATTTGGGAGGATGTAAATCACGGTGACTCAACGACTCAGCAGATAAGGCCAAATGCCGGTGCACATAAGGGATCTATCCACTTTGGACATAATTTCTACACTGTCGATGCCGAGATTCGAATATTGGTCTCTTCTCCCAAATACTGCATACTGAACCAGTGAGCTAAACTCGTGGACAATTTTGAATTGTTCTACTCTGGTATTTGGTAGTCAAGAAAGTTGAAAATTTTAAAACATGGGAAAATTATTTCCATATTTGGTGAAACCATTGGCTTGGAACAGTTCAAGTCAACGAGAAATCAGATTTCTTAAAATCAAAGAAAATAAATCTAGCCTAGATGTGGTAGAATTCTTTTCCCTATGCGATTGTAGAAGTATAAAATTTATTCAATTATATATTTACCATTTTTTTTATATCAAGTTAAAAATATTTCATATAACTATATTGTATTTGCCTCTCATGCCATACTTAATACTTTGCGTATTTGAAGAAGGATAACACTTCACTATTGAAAAGAAAATCTCAAGTCACCATAGAAGATCGCAACTCATCGAATGAAAAACTTGAATTTTTTGATATATAATTTATTAATTTCAAGTGTTCTATTAAACTCCTCACAGTTATTAGTTGTGTTTTATGTCCAGTTGTTATGTTATGTTTTATATATATATATATATATATATATATATATATATATATATATATATATATATAAAAGTTTGTATAAGTTAGTGGCAGGATGTTATATCACTTAAATGTGTTTTTAGATATGATATTTTCTAATCTAATCTAATCCAAAAACATAATAAGTCTCAATCAAAGTTATGTCCCTCATTTATGTTCATGTTTTTAATGCTAATCATTTTGTACATTGTGCTTTTAGAGTTGTACTATATAATTCTTTGGACAAAAATACCCCTACCGTTATAACTTCCGTTATCTTTTCCATTATTGTTACCATGCACATGTATCCACCATATATTTTCTTATATTCTTTATGATAATAATATTTGTAGATATTATATATTGGATTATTATAATAAATAAATTTGATTTCATATAATTTTAATTAGTATGAATTTGTTAGCTATTTCAAAAAATATAAATATTCAGCATATGTTTTTGCGCATCGCGCATAGAAAAGACTAGTTATATTTATATGTAGTAATAGTATATAAGGAGATTTTAAAAAATTTCCTAGAAAAGTTCAAACAAACCAAATATTTAAAATAACTTTTCACTTTGAGATAATTCAATTGTTAAGTTCCCAAGATAACACTAAACATGTTAATTAGTTTTTCAACAAAATTACCCCGAACAAATATATTTCCTGCAATTATTTTTCCACAAATTTAATTGGTGGCAAAAGTAATAAACATCATTTTAGTTTACAACTAATATGATACACATGCGATGCACGAACTAAAGATTATATGTATTGAAATTACGCTATGTTATAAAAAAGTATTAATGTTATTAAGTTTCACATATAAAAAAGGAGATGTGAGCTTTATTCATTCATATATAGTTTTGTCATTTACTAATTATGTTGATTAGATATGAAAAAATTATATAGAGAAATTTACAATTCAAATAAGAATTGATATTTAAGATTTGATAATAATTAGTTAAAATAACAAACTTTTTAAAAGTTTAATACAAAATATTTAAAATTACAAATTATTAAAACATCTTATCAAGCACGCCAATATATATATATATATATATATATATATATATATATATATATATATATATATATATATATATATATATATTGCACTTTGCTTCAGGGAGGTATCTCTACTCTCTCTCTCCCCCTCAAATGTAAGGAAATGAGTAAAAGTCTGATGAACCAAAAGCTTCTCAACACATTCCTTAACAGCCTTGGACAGTTCAGTCAAGAAATTACAAAAAAAACCTCTAGAATCAAGTATGTATAATCTCCAAAAATATTCGGTCAATTGGCAATATTTACAAGAAATCAAGGAGAATTCTCCAGAAATCAAAATCCAGAAGCAAAATCGGTGCCTACAAACATAAACTCTGGAAATCATTCTCGATTGGAAAATGACAAGTCGGTTGTGAGTGAAATGCAGAATCGAAGACAAAATTTAGAGAATACAACGCAAATTGATCGAGAGCAACGAAATCTAAACCAAGCAACAACAAATGCTTCTAATCAACAGTGATTGCGGCAAGGGAAGTCGGTGATACAAATTGAAGAATCGAAATGGTAAAAATTGGCAGAGGTAGAGAAAAAACTTACCATAATTGGGAAATTCATAGAGGAAATGCCACTGTTGGATGCAATTCGAGCAAAACTCCAAGAAATTTTCCCTACCATAGGGTCATTGAATGTGACAAGTATCTTAATTCAATTCATGGTTGAAGAGGATTGCATGTGAATTCTAGCAAAAATGTTGTCGTCAGAGCTCCAACATCGGATGGTCCGTCCCTACATTTCGTCCTCCATAAGCGTTCACAATCTCTCCTCCACTCTGACCAGCGGCTACAACCCTAAACGAAACCCTAGACTCAATCTCGATGCTTCGTTCTACGGTCTCAGCAGCATCGCTTATTCTAGTTCGCTAAAGAACTCGAGATTTTCTCCATCATCTTTCGCACACAACGCTAAAATCGTCGTTGCCTTGATCCCTTGTGCCGCCTTCCTCCTTGACCTCGGCGATACTCCCGTCATCGCCACCATCACTTTCATGCTCATGGCGACACCTCTAAGTCCTCTGCAATCTGAGAACCCGGTATACATATATAGCTATCTACTTTAATGCATACAAACAATGTTCTTGAGATTTTATTTTGTGGTTTTTGATGTGCTGACTAGGAGAGAGAGGAGAGAAAGAAAAAAGAAGAGAAAAAGAAAAAGGGAAAGAGAAAATAAACCTGACAAGCCACTGAACTAATAAGCCACTGAATTGTTTGGAAAACAGTAATTAAGCCACCGAACTCAAATAACCTCCAAATAAGCCACTGAACTCGGAAAAAAGAGCAATTAACAATTTTAACAAGTTAACTTCAAGTTTTTTGCTGACGGGATTGCAACATATTTATTTTATTTTATTTATTTTTATTATTATAATCTACATGAATTATTTGTAAGCAAATTCTCAAATTAGACATCCAAGCCCTAAATTCTCTCCTTTCTAATCGCGACTTCTTCCTCTCCTTCACGTAGCCCTAAACTCGGAAGAACAACAACTGCTTCATTAAAAAGAAACCACCTTTTGCATGTTCCACCTTCCTCCATCTGCAAAACTCATAATTTTGTTGCTTTCAAGGAGTACTGGAAGTTAGAGGTTCCTCAAACACTTAAATAGTATACATAATTCAGTTCAGTAGTTTTACCAACTGCATTAGTTACAAGTTAAATAGTATACATAATTCACCTCGGCTACCATTAAGTTCGATGGCGATTATCCGTTTTCTTCGCTGAACAAGAATTGTAGACAAATACAGAAGGCTAAGGGTTCGTTTCAATCCAAGGTTGTAGCGCGAGGAGTGAAGTATTCTAGGATCTCATGTACGCTTCCTACGGTGCTGGCTCGGAACTAATCATCAGGTTCTGCATACTGTTTTTAGTGAAGGAGTACCTACGTGAAGGAGAGGAAGAAGTCACGATCGTATAGGAGAGAATTTAGGGCTTGGATGTCTATTTTGAGAATTTTCTTACAAATAATCCATGTAGATTATAATAATAATAATAATAATAATAATAATAATAATAATAATAATAATAATAATAATAATAATAAATAAATAAATAAATAAATAAAATATGTGGCAATCCAGTTAGCAAAAACTGGAAGTTAACCTGTTAAAAATGTTAATTGCTCTTTTTTTTTTCCTGGTTCAGTAGCTTATTTGGAGGTTATTTGAGTTCGGTGACTTAATTGTTGTTTCCCAAATAGTTCAGTGATTTATTTGTACTTTAATTTATCCTTAAAAAAAGGGGTCGCTAGTTAATGCGCCCTGCATGGCACCAGACGCGCAATTGAGGCATGGAATTAGCCCTATATTTCTGACGTCAAAAAACTTTATTTGCAGGAAAAAAAACCCCTAAAAACCCATGATAGATACCCTAAATCGGGCACCCGGTCTGGTAAGAATAGAAGGGCAGTCAGGTCCAAGCAGGGCATAACACTTGGCAAATTCAAGGAAATGGGCTACGTCCACTCTCACAGCTTACCGCGCGGAGCACCCGGGAGACCAGACCAGCATGTGAGTGCGTACCCGGACGAAAGTTGGCTGGCTCAGGTTAAGTGATCAGACTCTGTAGCCGGCGTGTCTCTGATTGGGTGCACTCAGCGGGCTCGGATGGGTGACCAATCTCGGTAGTCGGCGTGTCCCCGACCAGGT